TCAGAAATCTGCTGCACAACTTGATTTGGACAGCCCACAGTTTCAGACTTGTCTCAAGAATGAAATACAACACCAATGCAAAGCAGCTGTACAAAGCCAACAAAAGAGGCTAAGACCATGACCAACCTCAGTAGCTGATGAGCCGAGTTGTTATAACAAGGCACCAGCAGAGAAGGATCCAGAGATCGCAGCAGAACTGGTTATTCTCAGTCAAGAAGATAGCATGGCTGATCAATTGAAACAAGAGAAAATACAACAAGGTTTGGAAGCTGAGGTGTATGATCTAATTAATGCTGAACAGGACAGAGAAACTCAATTTTGGTGTGGGCACGTTCCTGATCAAAAAAAGAAAGAAGATGCAGTGCTAGAAGAGTCATCTGAAGCTCCTGAAGTGTTGCTTTCTATGGTTGATCAAGGTGAAAATTTTAAGAATTTATCTTGTGAGTTACTGATCAAGCTTAAGGTATCTCTTCAGCTCAGCATAGGGACGCATCTAAGAGTTCTCAAGGGTCTGCAACAACTTGTTTTTGAACCAGGAGGAAGCTTGAGTGTGAGTAGAAGAAGTAACAACAATTTGGTGCAGAAAATAGTTTCATAGAAGCTTGATTTGCAAGGTTCCTTCACTCCTAAAGAACAAGATTTAAGGTCAAATCTTTTTGAAGGGAGAGAGGATGGTGTGATACTGAGTAGCCGGAGTAAAAATAAAGGAGGAACAAGAGGCACCACGTCCTTGAGAAGGTTCATGTTAGATCAGTACAAGCTGAGAAGAGAAAAACAAGTACTGGTTAAAGAGAAGCATTATATTTATCAGAAGACTTTTCTGTCGATTTCTTCTCTGAGGAGAACTGCTTTCTCTGTTCAGCATCAAGAACATTGAACTCACTTAAGGAAAGGAATCTTCTCGTGAACCCATCATAGACTATACAGGGTGATCATGTGTCTTTGAGTCGCAAAACAACCTCTGAGCAGTCCATAGCTCGCAGGTGAAGTCCATCGCCATCTTACATCATCCACCCACGCCCCCTTCAAGTGATCGAGGGAGAGACAACCATTCCACGGCCGTACCATAGAAGCTGCAAATGAGCCAATTTACAGTGGTTGTAGAGAAGGTCTCTCTAAATTGTTGTTGGCTGTTAGAATGATGAGTATTAAAACCGATCACAATCTACCTGAAAATTACATGGATGCATGGTCAGACTTGTTTAAAGAGTATTTGCCAGAAGTCAATGTGTCTACTGAATCTTATTATGAGATTCAAAAATTGGTTTATATTCTTGGGTTGCCCTCGGAGATGATAGGTGTATGCATCGACAACTGCATGATTTACTGGGGAGATGATAGCAGTTAGAAGAATGTCGATTCTGTAAGAAGACATGATTCAAACCACAAGGACGAGGACGGAATAGGGTACCATACCAAAGGATGTGGTACCTACCAATCACAGACAGATTGAAAAGATTGTACCAATCTGAGGAGACTGCTGGAGGGATGAGATGGCACGCCGAGCATACTCAGACGGATGGGGAGATGACTCATCCATCAGATGCAAGAGCTTGAAAACATTTTAACAAAGTACATCCACATTTCGCTAGCAATAGCCGGAATGTGTATCTTGGATTATGCACTGGTGAATTTAGTTCATTTGAAATGTCTGGGAGACAATATTCATTGTGGCCAGTCTTTCTTACGCCGTATACCTGCCACCAGAGATGTGCATGCGACGAGATTTTATATTTTTGACCATATTAATACTTTTTCTAAAGCATCCAAAAAGATCTCTCGATGTTTTTCTACAACTACTAATAAAAGAGTTGAAAGATTTGTGGTCAATAGGGGTGAGGACGACATATGATTGTTCAATGATAACAAATTTTACGATGCGAGCGATTATTTTGTGGACCATAAGTGACTTTCCTGCATATGGGATGTTGTCTGGATGGACTACACATGGAGATTAGCTTGTCCATATTGTAATGGAATGACATATGCGTTTCAGTTAAAGAATGGTAGGAAAACAAGTTGGTTCGATTGTCACCGTCGATTTCTTCCCCTTTACCACCCATACCAAAGAAACAAGACATTGTTCAGACACAAAAAGGTGGTCAAAGACACTACTCCTCTATTTTAAATTGGAGAACAAACTGGAACGGCATTCAATTACTACTGTGCACTAGAAACAGCTCCTCGTGGTGGTAATTGGCATGTTCCCAGTAATATGTAAATTTTTTAATATACATATATATTTTAATTTTAAAAATATTTTTAGGCTAAAGAGACAGAAGTTCTTCCATCTCTCAAAGAGCTTTACGAGAGGACCCACAAGAACAAGGCTAGGAAATTTGTAGATCCTAGGTCCGAGCGAATCTACATCGAGGTTGTTTTTCGGGTTGAGGAGCGCCAAACCTAGCTGTCTCAGCAGTCTCCCGATGGGACACCCGTCATATTATCCACACCTGACGTGGATCAGATTTACGAGAAGGTAAATTTGTTTTCTTATTATTATATTCATTTAATTTCTGTTTTTTTCATTAACTAACATTAATCTTTTATTTACAGGTCGTTCCTAAGAAAAAAGACGTATTGTGGGGTTTGGTTCCGTTAACGATGTCCCAAGAGCGACATCGTCTTATACTCAGGAGCGGGACAATGAGACTGCTCAGCTGCGTTCAGAGTTGCACGCGACGCGTTTTGATTTGAGCATGACGCAAGCTCAAATGGGTTCTCTCGAAGGTTTTCTGGACATTTTGACGGTTGAAAATCCGCAATTGGAGATGATGATGCGTGCCAGGCGGGAACAATTAGGGATTCCACACCCACAGCCACCTCCACAGCCACAGCCAAGCAACCATGAGGAGGACGACGAGGTAGAGAGGAGTGAAGACTTCGTCCGGTAGTTTCACGAGCAACACCCCTAGTTTTTTTTTATTGTATTAGAAATTTAAAACCTAAATATTTATGCATACATATTTTAATTTTCTTCTATTATTTGAATTTTAAATTTTAATTTTTTAAAAAATACTTATTTATATATTTTGATTATTATTTTTAATTTAGGAAAAAAGGTTTCGAAGTCAATTCCTCGTAAATCTACAAGGACTTTACGAGGATTAGTTTACGTGGCTATAACGAGGAAATCATTACGAGGCTTTTACGAGGAAACCATTACGAGGGCTTTATGAGGAAAGTGTTATGTGGCTTTAACGAGGAAAAGGTTACGAGGCGTTTACGAGGAAATACTGTAGACGACTTTACGAGGAAACTTTTCATCGTAAATTAACGAGGAAAGCGCAAGGAAAGTCGAGTTACGACGAACATGTCACGACGATTTACGTTTCCTCATTAATTCTTCGTAAACCCTATTTTACGAGAAAATAACTAGGAATAGCCGTCCTAGCTATATTTGTGTTTTCTTGTAGTGAAATAACAGTCTTTTAAAGAAAACTTTGACTAAAATAATTTAAAAGTTAATTTTCCTTTTGAAAAAAAAATCTTAAGTAAAAAATCTGTAAAATATTATATTCCATATAAATAATTATTATTTAATAATATAAATTTTTATTATGTGGGTTTAAAATAGTTATAAAATACTAAACATTTTTTGAATGAAAATTTTTGATCACATTACCAAATATTAATCTTAAAATTGTTTAATAGTATTTTCTGTTAAAAATATATTAAATTTAGAAAATTCAAAAATAATCAATTTAATAGTTAATTTTACTTTTGAAATATCTTAAACATATACTTTAAAAAAATTTGTTTTCCTTTTGTAAGAAGTATTTAAAAACTGTAAAAAGTATATTTCCATATAAATAATTATTTAACAATAGTATTTTTTTAAAACGTGGGTTTAATTGAATAAATAATAATAACTATTTAATACAATTTTCCTACAAATTAAAATATTAGAAAAATATTTTTCTTAGAAATATTTAATATTATACTTTCTGTTTTAAAATACTAAATATCTAAAATTGTAAAAAAAAAGTTTATAATTTTATTTTAATTGTAATATTCCTTTGTACAGAATGTTATTTGCAAGGTTAAGTAAGAAATTGATTTAATTATAATTAAAAATCTATAAGTTTATTTTAATTGTAATGGGCCTTTTTGACGAACCTTATTTTCAAGTTCCAATAAAATATATGGGTTAAAAATAAGTACTAAGTCAGTAGGCATTTGTTTAAGATAAATAATTTCCTTTAAATAACTACACATCTGATTTTTCATATAAATATCTAATATTAATTTTCCATATAAACATGAAATTATTAATACGCGAAAATTTTAGAAAATAAACAAAAAGTTTAGAAAAATAAGCGACAATTTTAAAATTAATAATATATGTATTTTTATTTTCCTTATTTTCTATTGTTTTAATAGCAATAGACGTCTGTTATTAAAATATTATATATATATATATATATATATACTTATAATTATGTATCTAATTTGTTTTTATGCAAAAAAATATACTTTAAGTTAGATGCATATTTGTTTTTTTCTTGAAAATGTTATTAATATAAATATAAATCAAAAGTGATGTTATCTATACTATACTAAAAAGGGACTACTCTCCCCTGTTATGCTGCCACGTCAGCCATTAAGGGCTGCATTTTCTGCTAGGTCACTGCCATGTGGGATTGTTTTTCGGTTGGACGTAAATTTATTTGGGCTTGCAAATTTTTTTAAAGTGAGCCCATTATCGATTTAGGTCAAGCCGTTCTCTTCCTCGCCTCTCATCTCCTCTCATCCTTCCCCGACGCCTCTCATCTCCTCTCATCCTCTCCATGTCAAATAGCATCGTAATCAGTTGAATTTCACAGCCTAGAGTTGAGGCAAAACCCTAGCTCCCTCCTTCTGTGCTTCGAGATGGTTCCGACGATTCCTGTTCCAGCGATCAAATTTTAAACTCCATGATTTCAACACTCAACGGCTAAGACACAACGGGCAATCTCACGTCTTCCTGCGGTCACACTAAATCCCACTGGCGATCGATCATGGGTAACACAAACTCTCCTTCGGCCGTGAATCTCTCCAAAGTCTTGAATCGTTACGATTTCTTCTCCGATGGTTCGCCTCCTCCTAAGCTTTCTCTCTCCTCCAATCATCTCAGCTGCTGCCGAAAAGTTTTGGTTTGTGTATTTTGTGTGGTAAGAAATGATGAAGAGAGGGACATTAGAAGAAGTTGCATCATAAAGATATTGTCTATGCTTATATATATTCACAATATTATACGTGGCATGGTCGTGTTTTATGTTGTGATAGGGAGGTGGATGGTGTGACACCATTCGAAATTTTGTATACCGCAAAACAAGCCGTCATGGATCTTCTAAGTACATGGACAAAAATATACCTTTTACAGGAATTCTAAGTGACCAATCCGCGGAGAATCCAGGTTAGTGTCTAACAAATTACTCTATATGATGTTATCTCGGTTTAGGCTGCTAATACAAATGTTTTGTTTGCAGACTTTTATAACTGGACGAGAGTGAAAGTTAGGTACTGTGTCGGTGGATACTTTAGCGGAGACAGCGAAAATAAGGTTAGCTAAGCTGAAAACATTGATTCTTATATGTTATTTTAGGCTCAACTTCAGTTCCGAGAAAAAAAATATGGTTAGCTGCTATGGAAGATTTGATGGCAAAGGAAATGTGTCAAGCCAAACAGGTAAACTATTTTTTTTCTTTTCTTTTGCTTTCATATATGTACTCTGCTTTGACCTTTATGTCACATTAGGCTCTGCTCTCTGGATGTTCTGCTGGAGGTCTTGCAGCCATTTTACGGTGTGATGATTTTGGGAATATGTTTCCTCCTTCTACTAGAGTGAAATGTTTGACCGATGCTGGCTTTTTCCTTGACGCATGAGTAATTTTCTAATTAATCTCTTTCATTAACAACTACGTTATTATTTTGGTATATATATTGAGTTGTTTTGTAACTGAAGCATCGATGTCTCTGGAGGTCGATCTCTTAGGTGTTTATATGCTGGTGTGGTAAAGTTACAGGTACAAACACAAACATTTTCAATGTGTTACACTTTGTCTCAAGAATAGTAATCAAAGATTGTGTAATGCTTCTACAGAATCTGGAAACAAAGCTCACTAAGGAGTGTTTAAACAGTCTTAATCCAACTTCAGTATGGTTTCTAATCTTTCTATCTCTGTAGTAAAACCAGGTAGGCAGATATTTCAAAAATATACTTAATGATTCAACACTGCAGTGTTTTTTTCCCGCAAAACCTAATCAACCAAATCAAGACTCCACTGTTTATTCTAAATACTGCCTACGATTCGTGGCAGGTTAGTTTATATTCTTTTTTAACCCTCGGTTTTATCTATATAGGAAAAATGTGTATTTTGATATATAGTTTGTGCAGATCCAAGAGAGTTTAGCTCCCAAAACTGCAGATCCAAGTGGAAGTTGGCATGATTGTAGACTTGACTACACCAAGTGCAATGCAACTCAGATCCAGTTCTTGCAAGGTGGAACGTGAGCTAATAATGTACTTGATTTTTGAATAATCAACTAACTATTTTTTTTGTTCTTGCTTTTGAATTAATGTTTGACAAATTTCAGGACTCGTATGGTGAATTTGATCAAAGGTTTCGCCAAGCCAAGTAAGAACGGAGTGTTTCTTAACTTGTGTTTTGCTCATTGCCAAACGGAGAGGCATGACACATGGTATTCCAAAATCTATCTTGCGGTTAACAACAAGGTACGGAACTTTTTTGGCCCTTTATTGATCGTTATTCTTTGGTTTTTTTGACTATTCCCCATTGAAAAAGCTACAAACAATATGCAATATTCAAACTAAAATTTTTAGCTAGCATTGTTGTTTTGATAAAAAAATGAGCAGTTGTTGCTTTTGGGCGATGATTTGATTCTCGTGGGCTTGCTTGTGGCCAGTTAAGAAAGAGTTCTGCCTTCTAGCCAAGCCTTTAAGTTTGATTTATATCTTGGATATGTGCTATTATTGAGCTTAAATGGTAATATATATATTCGTTACTAAACTATAGCTACGGTGTATATATTAACTTTATCCTGCACTTGATGCAGCAGGAAACTAGAGAAATCTGGCAGCTCGCTTTATTGCTACCAATGTGTTAATCCCAATATCACCGGTGTTATCAGGTGCAAAGATTTCATATTCATGGATATTTAAGATATTATACTATCTTATAATTACCTTTACTAATATCAAATTTTAAAATAGGTACCATGTCGAATTATCAGTTGATGATGTGAATGATAGTGTGACTTATGTGGTGTTTGACAAAGACATAGATAAGCTTACCAAGCCGGACGCAGCTGCTATGGCTCTTGATGAGGTTTGTTATTTTCTGACCACCATTTGTCCACTGTCTACAAATGTGACAATCTCTGACCACCCCTCTAACCTCTAACATATTGCAGATCAACAGTGGTGGCGGCCAGGAACTCCCATACTACCTTAAATAACTTGGCGAGAATGATTCTCCAAGAGATTACCAAGAGGCCAGCTTCCCAGAAGATTTTTCAGTGAGATATATCTAAAAGGTACTCAGTAATGATGGTCAGAGTACATAAGTGACTGCCTCATAATCCAATTTCTAAGTACTCTGTTTTTATTTTATGTATTAATATTTATTTTATGTTTTTGGTATTAGGAAATAATAAAGTAATAAACGTATATTTTATAGTTGAGAAATCAGTAACTATTATATATATATATAACTAAATTAGCACGTTTAAATCAAACAATCAGTCTTGTTTATTTACAATCATTTTATGGTATATAAATCAAAACAAACAGTTTTGTTTATTGACTATGATATATAATTAAATTAAATGATATTGACCTAGATATATAATATATTTTTAATTTGGATATTTATTAAATAAGGTTTTTACTCATGTAATTTTATGATTATGTGCATTTTTATAAAAAAATTTAAACTAGTGGTAAAGTTTTTTAGTGTAGAATGTTAAATATTTTTAGTAATTTATAATCATTTTTAAAAATTCAGTGCAAATATCAAAACTAAAAAAATAAGTTCTCAATATTTGTTAAAAAATAACAAAATATATGTATTTTATATGGTATATAGTTTGATTTAGACGACGTTAAATATATATATATATATATAAACACCTATTAAAAAGAATATGTATATATAAACACCTATTAAAAAGACTTCTTACTCATATTCCTTTTTTTTTTCTCAACTAGCTTATATTGTTTTATAATCATTTGTATCTTATTAAACCAAAATATTCAAACCATTGATTAGATAAGTTTATGAGAGACTTTTAACAATTTTAGTAATATATACCCGTTTTAAAAAATTCAAAATACGACATATACGAAAAAAAATCTAAAATTGTATTATATGATTAATGTAATTGTGTAATTTATTTTAGTAACAAAGAATTAAACAAAGATGATTGATGATATATAAATTTTCATATATAATCTAATCATATTAGGTAATTCCGTATCTTTCATTTAAGGAAAGAATGGATAATAATTTTTTACATTAATCATTAATTTTATGGTTAGTTTAATGACAACTATAGTTTATATTTAGATGGACCAACATATTTCTCTAGGGAATTTTAAGAATCGTTCTCCTGATGACACGTGTCATGTTTCAAATGTTGTAATGCTTCTCTTTTAATATATAAGGGATACAATATGTCAAATGGAAACTCATTTAACTTTCTTATAAATCTACAACAAACCATATTCTTGGCATAATTAATATACGCCTTATGTATGTTACCAAAATATCGGAGTTAAAAAATAATGAGTCATACAATATAACAAACGACTAGAATAAGACATGCACCTTAAGCATGATGAGTGTATGTAATTAAAATATATGATTTTAGTATTCACAAATTTAAAATTTACATATGATTGTTTTATATGTATTTGAACTTTTAGAATTTTTATATAATTATCTATATGTAGGATCAGAAACAATTGTAATTAGAACTGTATATCAAAAGTTATAATTTAATGGGTCCGGTTCATATATCTTTTTACTTTTCAGTGTTCAAGAGATAGAAAATAAATGAAGTGTCACATGGCTTAATTGGTAGAACTTTATCAAGTTCCCTAATGCTTTCTCAAAAAGCAGTTGGTAGAATATTCGCATTTAAAATATATAAATTTCCAAAACGAATTTAACAGACTTTATTTATTTGTCTAGTAATATCAGAAAATAATATTTTTAAAAATTAATTTTTGAATAAAAAATAATTTTTATAAAACATTAAGTTAAATTTTAAATTATAATTATGTTTAAAATAAAATTATTTATTACGATGTGAGATATATATATATATATATATATATATATATATATATATATATATACATATGTATATTAAAACATAACACCTATTAAAATTAAATTATTTATTTATATGATTTTATAATCCTTGTAACTTATTATAGAAAAAAAAATTTAGACCTTGATCACAAAAGTTTATGTGAGATTTTCAACAGATTTAGTAATTTATACCCGTATTGAAAATTTCAAAATACAACATATATAAAAAAATCTAAATTTTGATTATATGATTAGTGTAGTTATGTAACTTATTTGAATAATAAAAAATTTAAAAAAAAATGATATAAAGTATACATAGTGTTTAGAAAACTTTATTATTTAAAATCATTAATATTCATATATATCTTAATCACATTAGGTAATTCAATAGGTTTTATTTATGGAAATAATATATATGAGATTTAGTTTGATATATTATTTATTTAATATGTCTTATATGAGACCAACAGACTTTGTTTTAAAACTATGATTTATATGAGGTGCTCTAGAATTCTTCTAAGTAGAATTTCATAGAGAACTGCTACATAGGATATTATTTTTTTAATTAGTACAAACTTAAGGTTATAATATTTAAAATGATTCTCAATTAATATATATGGGATTTGGTGTGTGAATTTAAATCAAACGATTATTCTTATTTATTAAAAGTCATTTATGATAAATAAATCAACGCAATCAATTTTATCCATCATATATTATATACAATTAAATTTAAATGACATTAACAATATCTATAATATATTTTAAATATGAATGTTTAGTACATGAATTTCTCATTATAAGGTTCTATGATTATCAATATATTTTTATAACAAAATTTTGAACTATTAAAATTGAATGAAAATTTTAAAATTAAAATATTAAATTCTCAATATTTTTCAATGAAAATATCAAAATATAAGTATGTAATTTAATTTAAATTATATATAAATATGTATTAATATAAACATATTAAATAAGACGTCTTACTCATGTATTTTATAATTATTTGTATTTTATTATAATAAAAAGTTAAACCATTATAAGGTTTTATGATTATTATATATTTTCATTCATATTCCACGAACACAAAATAAGAAGGCGGATAGCCTAGCACGGAGTGTCAGGAAACAACCATTTTTTGTCGTTCACATAGATGCAGAGCTGCCGTTATGGTTTATAGAGTCAAATTGAGTCTGTTTCTTTTTGATTCCAAAAAAAAAAAAAATTTAAACCATTGATTACAAAAGTTTATTTGAGATATTTAACAATTTAGTAATTTATACCCGTTTTAAAAAAATCAAAATATAGAATATACAAAAAAAAAATTATTATATAAATAATGTAATTGTGTCAATTATTTTAATATTAAACAAAAAATGGTAGAGAGTATAAAAATTGTTAGCAAATGTTTAATATTGAAATTATTAATTGTCATATATCTTTTACTCACATTAGGTAACTCCGTAGATTTTATTTAAAGAAATAATAAATAAGATATGTGACCAACATCTTTCTAGTAAATATGTGTTTAAACTTAATATATGTAAGGTGATCCATAATTGTGTTAAATAGAAATTAGAATGCAAAGAGATTTGCCACATATAATTGAGATTATTTTTAATTAGTACAAATTTAAAGTTATAATTTTTTAAATGATTCCCAAATAATATATAGGGGATTGTGTGATATATTCTCTCATAAACATATTTAAGATATCAATAATTAATTTCGAAAACTAGTATATAGCGACCTATTACCAAAAATATAACTACATAATCCTTATTTAGAATAAAAATATTTAATATTTCAAAATGATATTTGTACATTCTGATCCTAAATGCTGAATATACTTTTTTTTATCACCTAAAGATACAAAATTAGCATATATTTTTTATTTGGTATATAATGTGAAATAAAGCCCAAAATAGCACAAATTCAAGTTTTTGTCCACAAACTAGTATCTAAGGTTAAAAGTCACAAAAATAGTTTTATTACATATATGATTTACCTTTATGCCCATTCTTTGATTGATTAAAAAATAATAAATTAATATATGATTTATCATTATACCATTTCTTTTGACTAATTTACTCTAAAAGCCTAAACAATGAAACTTCAACTCTAAACCTTAAACATTGAAACCTCCACTCTAAACCCTGAAACATTAATTTTAGAATACTAAACCTTGAAACTTCAAATTTAAACCATAAACCTTAAAACATTAATTCTAAACCTTAATCACTGAAACTTCAACTCTAAACCCTAACCTTGAATCTTCAACTATAATCCCTAAACCCTGAAATATCAACTCTAAAACCCTAAACCCTGAAACTTCAACTCTAAACCCTAAACCCTAAAACATCAACGTTAAAACCCTAAAACCTGAAACTTCAACTCTAAACCCTAAAACATCAACTCTAAAACCTTAAAACCTGAAACTTCATATCTAAACCCTAAATCCTGAAACATCAACTCTAAAACCCTAAACCATGATGTTTTACCTCTAAACCCCTGAAACATCAACTCTAAAACCCTACACCCTGAAACTTCAACTCTAAACCCTGAAACATCAACTCTAAAACTTTAAACCCTCAAACTTCAACTCTAAACCCTGAAACATCAACTCTAAAACCCTAAACCCTGAAACTTCAACTATAAACCCTATACCCTGAAAATCCAACTGTAAAACCCTAAACCCTGAAACTTCAACTATAAAACCTAAACCCTAAAAATCCAACTCTAAAACCCTAAGCCCTGAAACTTCATCTCTAGACCCAGAAACATCAGTTCTAGAACCTTAAATCTTGGAGCTTCAACTTTAAACCCTAAACCCTAAAATATCAATTCTAAATCCTGAAACTTCAACTCTAAACCCTGAAACATCAATTCTAGAACCCTAAACCTTGAAACTTTAACTCTAAAAACCTGAAACTTCAACTATAAACCATCTTGAAACATAAAATTTAAGCCCTAAATCTAAACCCTAAACGCTCAACTTTAACCCTTAATCCCTAAACCCTATATTTTTCCGAAATTTGAATCCTAAACCCCAAAACCTTAATATATTAAAATCCAGATGATAT